ACACTAGCCACACTAGCCACACTAGCCAAAGCTTTTACACTATCTATTGTTAAAGTTAAGTTCTCCTTTTGTACTTTGTACTCAAAGAAATGCTTCTTCTCTAGCATACTAAATTATTACAGTTAAATCTAAATGTACCAGAGAGAAATTACTTTCACTTTTCATTGAAAGTACACCTTGAAATAAGCTTCTTCTTCAACAATAGACTGAATTGGTTTGCCAGAAGCCCTGTCTTTTCACTTTACGCCGTACAAGCCAACTTATTGAATCCAATTTTAAATCTAAACCGATTTTTCAATCTTTCTCATTGTCAATTTTGAAATTTCCTTAAAACTTTCTTCGGGGTGTTCTCAAGTTCCGCATCGTTTTTTGTGACGATTTTCCTTTTCTTTGCCTTTCAGCTTTCAGTGTCTCTGTCTATCTCTTTTCTCTTTTTTTGAATGACTCATATTACGGGGACACACTGACGACAAAGTCAACTATCATTTTTCCCGCTTGAATCTCTTTCCAAACGACAATGCTAACCAGCAAACCCTTTGAATTTAAATTTCAGGAGCGATTCAAGGCTCAAAGTAGCGAATTAACGTTTGTCAAGACTTTAGAACACTTAAAAATCATTTTTTATGGCTTAATAAGCAGCAAAAAAAGCTTTGCCAGCGAGAGGACTCGAATCAGGCGCTAGCGGTGTTCAAGGAGTGCGAGACGTTATCACACTAACGACTAGGCTACCAAGGCACAGCGATGGATCAGCGCCAAGGTTTTGAAGTAGGGGATGTTTGGACCACGGAATCAGATCGCTCCCGAAATGTAAATTCAAAGGGTTCCCTAGTAAGTGAGAAATTTGGCGATCTCAGCTTTTTCATCACAACTAGCTGTGAGCTTAAATGAGTAGTCAGTTGATTATTTTGTTCTTTTACGCATTTGATTTTACGTACAACAGGTTTCAATAAACAAGTACAGTCATCCGGCTGTTTGTCTGCTCTGTTGGTAGAGTCCGTACTTTGTGCAAACGTGCATCTTCCGCACACTTGATTTTACATTTTGTATTGTTACAAAACTGCAATGTTATGCTAAAATTTCCGTATTCAATCTCAAGACAGTATAAAAAGTTTTCAGGAGGCATAACTGACTACATTTATCGTTATAATAATAAATAATAATAATGTTCAATAAGTTGAACCAGAACTTCCAAAAAAAAGTCTTTCTTGATATTTATTGACTTGCTTGAGGGAAACTGATAGTGAGATTTTACAATTGTGCCAGAAGACGCTCAATGTACGCTAAAATCTAAAGTTTACCTAGAATTCTTCCAGTTTTCCTTTACTTAAATATTTGATTAGTATTATTATTTGTTTATTTGTTTATTTTATTCATTAGTTCCCCCTTCTACTGGTCCCCATCCGGCATTTCCAGGTTTTTACTTGTTTTTGTGCTTCTCATTGTGCTTCTTCTCAAACAGCAGTTTCTTACGAAACATTCAACTTTGCGACCTTATATTTATAATGTCGACCTTATATTTATAATATTTCTTTGAAAAAACTGTGAATCCCAACGAAATCTGGCCAAAACCTTTTATTACCTTGAACATAACAAAGTTAGTCTCATCAGCAGCTTCTTACGAAACATTCAACTTTGCGACCTTATACTTATAATGTCGACCTTATATTTATAATATTTCTTTATAATTGGTTATTCAGTTCAAACGCTTTGTCACTTTTCTATCCATTTTGCCCTTTCATTTAGGTCGGGGTTCAATATCTGTGAATCCCAACGAAGTCTGGCCAAAAAGGGAAAAAGCGCATGTCATTTCATTGTGAACTTTTCCTATATTGAACTTTTGAAAACATTTCGATTGCCTGTTTTTCGGGTTTAGAGTTGAAACGAATCTTCCTGAAATAAACTGACCATTCTTCTTTCATTTTTCACATTCATGCCTTGGGTTGGTTCCAGTTTGCTTGCTAAGGTTGAAAATCTTCAGTTATAGACATGATTTTTCTTTTGAAATATGTATTTAAGTAATAGATTTGGTTTATTTTTATTTGATTTAGTCTTTTTTATTTTTGTTTACTATAAAATACTCAGATTTTGGCATCCTTGACAACTTACAATATCACAAAATCAAAATGATGGCTCTTGGATTTAAATTTGATGCCATTAAATCACACAAAACAATCTAATCGTATAGCAATTCATTCACAACTTGCCTAGCTAAAAAAATACGATGCTAATGATGTTTTGTTGATGGGATGAGTTGTTTGAAGGACCCTCAGCGGGATCTTTTCTTCCCCCTTTCCACTTTCTTTCCACTTTCTTTCCATTTTTCTCTTTTCTCCAATAAAATGCTCTTCTTGTCTTTGTCATATGCAAATAAGACAACTAACAGAAGAAAAAGAAACACGAAAAAAAGGGGAAAAGTACACGCGGTCCCTTTTTTTTATCACATTGATTTGGCGACTATTTATTCGGATTTTTAAATCTTTTCATTTCTAGACTTATATCTCTATTTTTTCTATTTAATTACATGTTTTTGCCATTAAAGCAGGCTTGGACACACCGGCCCTTTTATGGGTTGGGGCTGGGAATAAAAAACCTGATCCGCGCCGGGATTCGAACCCGCGACCTCTCGCCTACCGGGCGAACGCTCTACCAACAGCTACACCGACAAGTATCCCATTGGCGCTAGGGGAGAGCCTTATGCCTTACTCTTGAATTCTTCATTCACCTAGTTCTCTTAGTCAGGCCGGAAAGCAACCAGTCTAAAAGTTTTAACCCTTACCGCAGTTTCAAATTGAGACCGGAGACGATTTTAATGATTTCAGTTTGACTTTAAAGTTTATTCCAATGAAGAAAGATTCGCATGAAGTTTTTTTTAAATGATCCCGAAGTCTAAACCTCAGACACATTGATAGAATATCGATCTCACAGTCAGACTACATCTCACTGTAGCATTGGAATGAAGCTGATCATCTGATTGGATAATTTCAGTCTGGGAATATTTGGCCTTTGAGTCCATTCCAATCAAAGTAGCGAACAAATTCTACATTCTTCCAGTCATCAGGATACGACAACCAGTATTTATTAGACAATGGGAATAAATTCCAGCTTTAGCATTAAAGGAATCTCTTGAATTTGAGTAAATTTGACCGTATGTAACAATACAGGATGACCCGCACTTTAGAGGGCCTAGATTGGCCAAAATTAGGCCAATCGTTCTGATTTTTCTAGAAGTAAATCGTAAGTATATCTCCTGGTACTATGCCCATTATCTAATCGATTCAAGCTTTCAACTTTTTTATATGGCTTTCCAAAGTTGATAGCCGAATGTCGCGCGACACGCTGCTCATTTATGGGGTTTTTGGAGAGCTTTCTTTTTTTGATAAAAAACCTTTATGATTTTAATGATTTTCAATTAATTTTTCAATTAATTTCAATTACTTATGAAATTTAAAAGCGATAAACCTTGAAAAAATAAGATTTTCTTGTTCTTTAGTGACTTCTCTGAATCCCCCATAAATCGTTCAATTGAAAGCAGACCATATTAAGTGAGTTTTGGTGACATTTGTCAAGAATTTTTGCATTCAAACTACGTAGAGTATGTGGAATTTTGTTCATTAACATAATAAATTCAATCTCAACGGGGTTTTGACAAGATCGCTCTCAAAAATCCCATAAATGAGTAGCGTGCCGAGCGGCATTCTGCTCTCAACTTTGGAAAGCCATATAAAAAAGTTGAAAGCTTGAATCGATTAGATAATGGGGACCGTTCCAGAAGATATACTTAAGATTTACCTCCAGAAACATCAGAACGATGGACCCAATTTTGGCCAATGCGGTATCTGAAGTGCGGTATGTGGGCCACTCTGTAGAGTGCAACTCAATCAAGTCAGTGAACAAATTCTGCGACTTGCCTGAAGAGTGGGAATCATCAATATGAATAAATTCATCAAAATCAACAATTAGTTCAACATCTTTCCTTATCAGATCACGATTAGGGCTTTTCAAAGAATTTCTAGAAGTTGCTAGTTCTAGTTCTATTTCTAGTTCTAGTTCTAGAAGTTCTAGAAGTTCTAGAAAAAGTTGGTTGCACAGTTGCCTTTAGGAGTCAATGGCAATCAATTATGAGACCAAAAATTGCTTGATATTGGCTTAAAGAGTCCGGAATTCCGGGCAAATTAGCAAAATTGAGATTGAACTTTGTTGAAATCTTCGAAAAGTTAATATTTGTTTCATTTTGTGACAGAATGTGAATGCTAAAACTCCCAGGATCTCCAGGAAATCCGGATCAAATCCACTTCTCCAAAAGTCTTGAACAAATTTGGGACCAAAGGTTTTCAAAAATGCAAACAGTTAAGGAATTTGGGGAATTTCTGAGCTCAACATTTTGAAATATTTGGAAAGCCAGGGATCTAAAAGGATTTTGGTAAATTTTAGAGCCAAATTTTTAAGCCCACCGTATTAGAAATTCCATAAACACCAAAAAAAAATTGAAAATTATAGAAAAAAAAGAGAGAAAAATGCAGACTCAAAAACATTCACGTTGACCTGTATTTGCCGGTGTTCTGCAAATTGGTCAGGCGCTGCGTGCCACGAATTCCTCAAATTTTTCTCTAAATCTCCTACTTTTTCACTAGAATTTGTATCTTTTAATTTGAAATTAATAGCTCTAATAGCTTTTCCCGTGAAAATTTTCTTTTCTTTCTTCTTTTCCCCGGATGCACAGCTATGTAAATTTCGCAAAGCTTCACTTGTTGACACAGTTGAGAAGCCGATTTCACCCCCCCCCTTTCTTCTCCAAAAATTTTCTCGTTTCCTTTTTTCGATTCGAATAACGATTTACTTTCATCAACATCATTCGGATCTGTTAACTAGAGTTCTTTTTGTTCTCTTTTTGCCTCTCATAACTTTGTGTTTTCATTTGCCAACTCCGAAGGGGGAGGAGCCGGAGTTTTGTGTGAAAAGTGACCAAATCTTTCCACTGTTTTCATCCCGCCGACCTTTTGATGAATGTTTTCAGAGCGGGTGATGTCTTTGAGCGGAGATTAGTCAAAGTCATGTACAACTGCTATCATGAACCGAAGGTGAGTGTTTTGAATTTTGATAGGACTTCATGGGACATTAGGCTGAGTACTATGTGTTCATCTGGCTTACTCTTTGCTCTTTTTAGAAAGAACGACAATTAAATTACAGCTTTTACCATTTAAAAGCTCTATTGATCTTCTAAAAGTTGCTTTTAACGAATTTGAAAATGTTTTCGTTTTTTGATTTTTCCGAGAGCAAGAAGTTGAGGGATCAAACGCAGAAAAGGGGATAATGATACTTTTAGACCAAAAGAACCCTATTTTGGTGTCATAAGATAAGATAGAGCACAAAAAGTTACGATTATAACCAAAATTTCAGCTTAATTTGTCAAGCCGTTTCTATTTTTTGATGATTTGACGAATTTTCATAAAAAACGCGAATTTTTGCTCAAATATCTCTCAAAATGCATCCAATTCAAAGTCCAATTCCAAAATGCATCCATCCAGTTTAAAAAGATGTAAAATGAGACAATGAACGGCTTTTATTTGATGAAAACCGTAACTAAATTAGCTTCTACTTCTACAGCTTCTAGCCTTTAATTGTTTCTACAGAGAAAAATGGAAATGCCATACCAACACATAGTACTCAACTTAATAAATTCCAGCTTTTTTGGTTGCTTTAATAAAATGAATAGCTCCAATCGATTCCCCGACCCCGAAAACCCCTGGGTACAAATTTACAGCTCAATCTAGAAAGCAAAAGAAAAATCCCTGACTGGCAAAGTGCTCTTTGTGCGGCCGCGTAATTGCTCGCGACCTGGAAAACTGCTCTTGTATTGCTTTTTTTGGAATCCATAAAGGGGAAAGAGCGGCGAGCGACTAAGCCGGCTTCACCTTCACTATGCTCAAATTTGGCCTTATTTGGCTGTATTTTTGCTAGTAATTCTGGTCCTGTTAAACCGTTGCTTTACTCTTAACGTACTGTTCTCTCCATTTACCTGCTGTAGGTAAATGGAGAGAACAGTACGTGACTTGCGCGCTTTGTTTCTCGATTCTCTCAGGATTCTTTAGTCCAATCAACTGGCCTTCGCTTTCTTTTGCGTCTCTCTGGGATTAATTTTTGGCTTAATTTTGGTATTTTTACGACAAATTCTAGATCCTTTTAACCCAAAACCAGTCGAGATATTCAAGGTTAAAATTGACCTGGAAAGCTGATTTTTTCTCTTAATACTTGATAAAATCAGATCATCACAGACGATAAATTATGGATAAACCAATCAGTTACCAAATCATCCCAATCTTTAAACCTTCCAGGTACACGACCACCAGCTGTACCATTCACTCAACAGTGCCAACATTTTTGGTCTATTGCCACTCGGATTCATCGGAATCGCTTTCAACGCATGTGCACTAGTGAGTTGAAATAATAGAAATGACATCATTTGTTGTGGAATCCTTTTCAAACAGTTCTTTTAAATATTAGTTTCAAAGATTTTGCTTAGTTTGCTTAGTTTGCTTAGTTCTTTGCTTTGCTTAGTTCTTTGATTCTCAAAAAACTTGTTGTTACATATTTTTCGACCTTAAAACCTCATTATCCATTCTCCCATTCTCTTCAATTTAGCAACTCAAAAGAAAACAAGTTTTCTAATTGTTCTCAAGATTGAAACTGATATTTAAAGTAGGAGAAAGGGAAACTTTTGGTCAATAATCAAAAGAGAAAGTGCAAATATTGACACTTGTCTTTGGTGACGAAAAGCAAGATCTAGATCAATGTTCTTTAAAAAATAGAGTCTCTATTTGAATTGGGTTTTGTGTTCAGAAGAAAATATTAAAACATGCTGCAGTAACCGCAACTTGAGCAAAGAAGCATTACAACAAACTACAATTTAACAAAGTTCATGACAATGTGACATATGAGAAAATGGGAGAATACTAAAAAATAGTAATTGAAGGATCAAAATTCAAAATTCTATCACCTATTTTTTGTCATACAAAGTAAGCAATCATAATTTGTTGTCAATCCATCAACTCTTATCTTATTTCCTTCTCTTTCTTCCATTCTCTTCTCCCTTGTATTTCCTCTTTCTTCTCTAGAAAGAAGATACCGGATAACTCAATGGTTAGAGCGTCTGTCCGGAAAACAAAAAGATTGAGGGTTCAATCCCCTCTCCATTCAAATTTCAAATTTCAGTTCAAATTCAATCTCCATTCTTCCATTCCTTACTTTATTATCATGAACTAACGATCTTATATAATGCCCTGACCAGTGAGCTCTTTAAAGTCTTTAAGAATTAATAGTAAGTGACTTTTGTGCTGTAAAGCGTAGCTTAATAAGTTTATTTACATTTTTCGTAAGTTAGTGGCTAGCTTGATCTTAAACGATGTTGTAAAATTGGGCTCTGATGCTCATTGTCAGGCTTTTCTAAAGATAAACAAACTTAATATTAGTTTATATTAAATCTTAAAGAAATTTAGCCAAACAGCCATTATCAAATCAATATCAATCTAGCATTCATGATCTAAATCCAAAGCTTTTCAGATATGCCTTTACCGACCGCCGAAGATCACCTCCGGGGTGTTCGTCTTCCTCAAAGCGGTCCTCATTTTGGATCATTGTCAACTTGTGGCAACGATTTTATATGCATTACTACCACAGGTAAATTATCTACCGTAAATACTGTAATAGTACCCCACCCCGATAATGACGGTGCGGAGTGTCGTGCAGTCTAGCTTTAAACGAGTTTTCCTCGACACTGGTTTATGCTACAATGCGCGCTTAGGTATCAAAAAATAGCCCTGAATTTCAGCTATTTTTTGATACCAGAGACGCATTTTTTGAAAGTACGAGCGCTTTGCAAAAAATGAAATACTAAAAAACTTTTGCGACTACGCGACTGTACGAGGGGGGTGGGGTACTATTACAGTATTTACGGTATTTATGCTAGTAATTGAAAACCCAATTGCTAAGTGAAAATATAATGATATTCAACGATGTTTTCAGTTTTGCGATAGCCAATTCGCACCCGAGCACACCTTTTATGGGGTTTGCATGCTGGAGCGGCGATTTCTACGAGAAACATTACCAAAGTAAGTCCGAAAAATGCGTCTATTACTACATACTAATTGAATCTAAGTGTTAGTTGATCACTTTCAGAGTGGTAATGCTAATCAATACGTTTCACGTGTGGACGATCGCCGCTCTCTCCGCACATCGATATTGGAAAGTGAGTTGGATTTGTCAAATCTGTTCAAACTGTCCACTTCCTTGTTATAAAAATCGACTTTTGCCTCTTGCAAAAGGCTTATGAAATCAAAAATCAGCTTTATTAAAGCTAAAAAGTTCAGATATCGAGGCCGGTGAAGTCACGAATGAACGACACGCCAAAACGAGCGAGATTCATCCTGGCTGGCCTGTTTCTAGGTGAGAATGGCTCAATTTGTGTGAAACACAACCATAGTACAATCCTAAATAGCAATTGTATCTACAGACAATGGCAATCATAACCATATTACAATCCTAAATAGTAATCGAATCCGAATCCTGGCACAACTTTTCGTAAAAGTAAAGCAAATGTCGAATTTATTCCAAGAGTACTAAGTGTTATAAAGGGATTTAAAGCCCGAAATCTTGGCTACATCTATGTACGAAAAAGCTTTTGAATTGGAATCACACAACTCATGTAACAAGTTTTTGAGTGAGCACGCCGCCATTTTTGACCATTTTCTTTCTTTCGTTCAGAAAGGCTTCCCCAAAACAATTTTGCATTATTTTTGTTCAAAAACTAAGTTCAATAAATTTATAGAGCTAGAGCAGCGCATACATCAAAATTTGAATGCAAATTGAACAAAAAACGCTCAATTTTCGCTTTTTTTCCTTGAGCTTCAAGATGAATTTAAAATCGAATTGAATTTTGGTTCGGAAAGTTTGACAAAACAGTTGGATGTTATTTTTATTGCCATTAAATGATAATAAATGTTATATTTTAATGAAATAAATAACAAAAAAGCTCTTTTAAAAATTTTTTTATGAAGAAAATCGTCAAAAATGGCAGCGTGTCAGAAAGAGACCGAGTAGCGCTCGCTGAAAAACTTATCACATCCGTTGTATGACTCCAATTCGAAAGCTTTTTGTATATAAATGTAGCCAAGATTCCGGGCTTCAAATCTCTATATAATACTTAGCACTTTTGAAAGAAATTAGACATTTGCTAGCTGGTTTTAGAAAAAGTTGTGCCAGAACACTTGGGACACTTTGTATAAAAGAGCAATGTTTGTTTGTCTGTCTGTACGGCCTGTCTGTTTGTCTGTATTTTCTCGGCCGTGTTTTGACCAGCAAAGCTAAAGCCTAACAAGTCGCATTGAGTTTTCATTTAAAATTCTCCTTTAGTTGCCACCATTTATCGATTACCAGTGTTCATCTTGGAGCTTCGAATGAAATGGTCACCGGTTTTTCGAATCACCACAAATCCACATTTCACCGAGGTGAGGAAAGCGTTTACATTTTCCGTTATACATAAAGATTCCGAAATACTCAAATCAATGGAGTGAAAGTGAACTTTACTAATTTCTAGGTGATCACTCCATATCGAATGATCTACCATTCACTTCTCGATCCACTTCTATCCAATGTGGTAAGCTGGATTTCCCCTAATACAAATTGCAAGCAGAACTGCTTGTAAACTTGTTTAAACTGCAAATTCTAGGTTCCATTCATTTGGATGGCTTTATTCTCGTTGATGACTCTTCATGAAGTATTGCGAAGTCGGCACTTCAATTATAAATTGATTGCAACGGAGATCGGGGGACGAACGGCTTGCAATGCGTTCGTTTTTACATTATGACAACTGTAGCTTTAAAAATTCTGTCAAAAGTTCTGCATGATGTGAAAATATTCAACTAAACACCAATTGAAGGCATTCAGTCTGGCTGAATATTTTGAGCTACTTTAGTGAGACAAATACTTAGCTGCAATAACCAAAAAGATTTTGTCTCATTTGCCCATTTTAAGTTGCCGAATCCAATTCCCGTTGTTGCCGGCTCGTCGCAAGTCCGATGTTTTCCGTCAAAAACAAGAGCATCGAGCGACAATCTCGATCATTTTGATGATTCTATTCTATCTGGCGTTCCATTCTCTTCAATTGTACACAATCTTCCGAAAATGGCATCTGATACTCAACGATGAGTGCCCAGCGAGGTGAGTAAGATACTGGACTCTAAATGCACTAGATAAGGTGTGATTAATTTTGATCACCGAATACTACTGAAGATGAAGTCTTGACAAAATAGGAAAGGATTACTTAATCATTTTTTTCTCTCAAACTTCAAAGATCTAGCACAGTTACAGTTTCCGAAATCAATTTCTTTAAAATTAGCCACAAAAGCCTGCTCAAATAAACCAAATGAGAAAACAGCAATTGGAATCGAAAATTTCCTAAACTGAGAGTTTGAGAAAACAACATTTGTAACTAGAATTTAACTGTAAAAGAGAATCTAACAAAAAAGGAAAGAATTGAATTCAGAATCGATTACATTTTGACGCAAGTCTCGGTTTGGTTATCGCTCGCCTCAGCCACCGTCAACGCCTTCGTCTTTATTGCTTTCACAAATAAGGTAGACAATTAACTGAATATCTTAATAAGATAGGTTATTAAGTGAATAGCTTATTGAATCAATATCTTAATAAAGTAGTCAATCAACTGAATATCTTGATCTTAATTTCCATCTAAAAATCTACTAAAACATTTCTGATCCAGCTAAAACTAAAACTTGGAGCCAAGATTGAGCAGGTATTAACCAAATATTAACCCTCCAACGCATGCTATAGCTTATAGCTTTTGTGTTTTGGCTATAATCACTGTTTTTTTTTAAAATTAGATCAAAATTAGTTGAATAGTAACGAGTTTTTATTTCAAATAGTGAATTTGACGGTTTACGTGCGTTTTGCGGATTGGATGAAAAACTCGGGATACTGTAAGGCTAATGCTTGCACAGTGGGCCCGAATTCTTGACTCTTTGTAGAGCTTTGGCATTATAAAATGATAAAAACCCTTATCAAAGGTTATCGGGCATTTGGCATTTGGTTAGCGCCCCGCTCCTTTTGCCATTGACAATCTAACTTTGTGCTCAAATATCTTGATGTTGGACTGTCGAATTTGAATATTCTTGGTATCATTGGATGCGCCAAGTCTTTCTCTGTCGATTGGTACAAAAGCTATTTAGAATGGACAGCACAACACCAAGATATTTGAGCTAAAAGTTAGATTGCCTATGGCAAAGGGGCATATGAAAGGTCCCACAATCGTCATAGAATTCTGTCTAATGTTTGACGATACTCTAAAGCTCCAGTTTCTTGTCTAACTACTGTTTACAAGTAACCGTTCATGCCGTAACAAAACAAAATTCTGGCCTTACAGTCTCTTAAAATCCATTGAACAAAACCGCTACACATGCAAACTTTCAGTAGCCTAGGAAGAATTCAATTTCAAACTCAAACAGATTTAGATAGAGGAATTTTTGCATCAAACTTTGAGATTTTAAATGCATGCAAATAATGGCTTTAAAAGCTTCCTTTTCAGCTTCGAAAGTACGTGAAGACGCTGATTCGGAAGACGTCGCGGACACTCTCCAACTCGAGCGATCCTCCACTTTCCCCTAAAACCACCACCACTATTGTCGTACATCAAAGTTCCGATAATCCGTTTAGTATCTAGTTTTGTGTAGAAATTTACTTTATTCGCATTTAATAATGCTTAGCTTTAGATGAGTTTGTAACTGTAATTAAAATTTGTACTCAAACATTTACCGACTGGCACGGAAGAGACTAGCTTGTTTTTTGTGCTCTTTCAAACGCTCATTATCTTATTATCTGCAAAAAAAAGAAATGAAAAATGTGCCAAAGAGAATGCGTTTGCAGAAGTACAAAGTACAAGTCAAACTTTGACTCGTTCTCGTTCTTTTGCAAGCAACGAGCTTTAAATTGATTTTATTTGTCTGGATTTCTTGTAGATTTCTTCTAGATTTCTTTTAGATTTATATTTCTTCTATATTCTTGTCTTTGTGCATTTGTTTAATCGATAATTTATCCCTTTTCTCTCTTTCAGTGACATTGAAATTCCGCAAGTTGTGATCTTGTACATAGAAAATATGCGACTGTCTTTCGCTCTATCTCATAGATTTTTGGTGTGTAAACTTTTGGCATCTATTGCACTGAATTTGGTATTGAAAACCACTTTATTTTGTAGATCTTTATTTACAGTAGACGAAAAAAAGAGTATTCAGCCAGTAGAATGTCATTTATGAATTTATGAATGCCAGAAAAAGACTGAATATCATTTAAAGTCTAAAGCAATACTTTTACTATTGCATATTGTAATAAGACAAGGTATAACATGCTACAGGATCTCCAGGGGTACTGTAAGTATCTAGAGACAATCTAAAGATGCTGTAGAGTACTGTGATCTAGTATACTATATCTAGTATACTAGAACTTCAGTGTGGCAGACGCTCAAAGTTTACAAATCTGTGCTTTTCTCTTATTTTCTCATTAGGCAACTTGTAACTTCTAAAATATACTCAAAAAAATGTAGTTCAATAACAAAATATCCATAACTTTTCTATTACCAACTCTTCCCAATTAATTTTCCATGATTCAAAGCCGGTAATCTTCATTTCTTTTTCATTTTGGTAGGCAAATTTTTAGATTTTGTGTACTTTTTGTTAATGGATAGTGATTTTTGAATAAAGATTTTTGTCAGTGAAAGTTTTTGTCAGAACGATTCAAAAACTAGTTTTCAAGAAATGCCAAATTCACGAATTTTCACAAAACTTGCATTTTAAGCGAAACTACTAAGTGTATCTTTTTGGAAATTTGGCTATAAGCCTAATTTTTGATTCTCTACAACTCTTCTATTGACACCAAAATGGGTTTCTTTTGAAGAAAGTGCTCAAACTGGGACATCTCCAGTCCTCCATTTTTGAGTCTCACACTTGTCTCACACACAAACCAAACTCATATTGTCTATTGTCATATGTCACAGTTTAAGCACCTTGGGATATGGAGGGAGTGGTGTGGCTCTAACTTTTGTCCTTTGATTGGATCGGGCTTAATTAAAAAAGTTACCACAATTATCGATGATTCTGCATCTATTGGTACCAAAAACTTAGTTGTTGACGCACCTCGGTTCTAAATCGGACGCTGTGTCTAAATCGAATTGTGACGGGAGATGAGAAATGGGTTTTATCTGTGAACTTTCGGAGGAAGCCGCAATGGGTGAGGCCAGGCGAGCAACCCGAAAGTGACCCCAAGCCCGATTTGCACCAGAAGAAGTTTATGCTATGCATTTTCTGGGATATGGAGGGAGTTGCTGGGAGTTGCTGGATAGAAAGACGACCCTTAATGCAATCAAATACAGTGAACAGTTGGAAAAGATGAATGAATCCCTAAAGAAGAATAAGCCCTTCAAGTCAAAGATCGTTCTCCTCCACGACAACGCGCGCCCTCATGTGGCAAAACTGGCTCGCTCTAAAATAAACAGCCTTGATTGGGAACTTTTGGCACATTCCCCATACAGTCCGGACCTTGCCCCTTCTGATTACTATTTATTCCGGACCATGAGTAATGAGCTTGCGGGAGAACACTTCGATTCGGAAGAAGCAGTCAAAAATTGGCTCGAAAAGTTTTTCGATTCAAAACCAAAATCCTACTACGAAAGAGGAATCCGCAAATTGCCTGTAAAATGGGCAGAAGTCGTCAATAATAATGGAAATTATTTGGAATGAATTGATGGTTTTATGTTGAATAAATTTTAGTTCAAAGTCTTGCAGTTTTCAATTCACCAACCCAATAAATTCTCTAAAAACTGTCGAGAAAGCCATAAATATTTAAAGAAATATATTTCGAAAAAACACATGATAAACTCACGAGTTATGCACGATTTCTTTACATTTATAAAAAATTTTTCAACGAATTTCCGGCTGATGAAATCAGCAAAATGGCGCTTTTGTCAAGCCTTTCTTATCTCGCGTTTCCTCTAAATTTCCTCTAAAATAAAATAGCGACTCGTGATTCAAGAGGCAGCTCGACATCAGTTTTTTTTTGTTTCTATTGATCTACTTTCCGAATGTTTCCCTGTTCGAAGCTGCCTCAAGAGCTGCAATATGACATTTTGAAAGCCGCTTCTTTGGAAGAAAAGCTACTTTTCTTAAAGGCCAACAAAGCGCTACGAATACGAGCTCTCAAAGATGGACTTTCGCCACGAAAGTTGGATATTCTGAAAGTTCATATTCCAGACTGCAAATTTTCTCGACGACCGGTAAATGTGAGAGATCCACTCTTTACTATCACTCTAAACGATCATACATTCACTGTTGAAAATAGCCAAGTGAAACACTACGATGAAACCACAAAGAATCAGAAAACTTTGCCTCGCTCCAGCAGATTACTATGTAATTTGTTGAAAAAAGTGCGTGTAGTGAAATTCTTTTCGCTAAACTGTATTCTAGTTAGATTCCAACATGAATACCTGTTTCTTGATGCAGAATTTATATCGGAAGTTTTAACTCAAATTTTGCACAGCATCAAAAAAGTGGCCAGCTTTTCGCTAAACATCGAGATCGCCTGGCTTGAATGGATTAAGCCATTTCTACAAGAATTGGTTGTAGATCAACTAAATTTGGCTTTAGACTGGATGGGAGATGACGCCGAGCGAGATGAAGTTGAGATGGTTTTAATGAATTTGTATGAGGATTTCATCATTCGTATACCGAAACTATTGATCTGGAGGGATGACTACGTGACTCCATGGACCGGCTTCTCATCGATGAATGCGAAACTTCTCTACATTCCACATTTAAATAAATGGCTTGACTTTTTAAACTCAATCGATACGTTTTTGAAACAAAGTGAAGACCTAAATAGTCATGCAAATGATAAGACTTTGCTTCTCATTCACTACCATCAGACCTATGGCAAGAATCTAGGCACCGGCCTTGAGCGGAATCCAAAAGAAAAATTCCAACAAATCCAAGAGATACTTCTAAGCTTTCCGAATGTTTTTGAAGTACAAGAGCCAGAAGATGAAATAAGCTATATTGAGGATAAGTGGAGCTCTTTGAGAACCGATTTTAGTTGTTTCAATCTTTTGCTCCCTTGCCAAATTAGCGCCAGCTCGAGTTTGAGCAAGAAAGTTTATAAGAAAAAGATTTCCGAAAACTCGGAAACTATTTTTCTACTCACTGCCCATGTGATGGACAAGCGGCTTTTAAAATTTAGTCGACCAAAACGAGTCTACGAATATTTGTGCTTACAGCTTTTTGTTTCCAATCGTTTCTTGTCGTGATCCATTCCGAGTCGCTAACCTGATTGGTCTCGTATTCTGCTCGTTTTTGGAAATAAATGTTGAATGACAAATTTTTATTGAAATTACAGTCGAACTTCGATATGACACATCTGTATGACGTAAAATAAATACTTTTGAGACACCCTGTATATGACGTAAAATTTACGCCTATTGTTCAGGTGATCAACGCCATCAACTGCAAGCGCAAGTCGGCAGCCATTCCCCCAGTCCTTCAACCAGCTCCCTCCCCATCACCCGGTCAGATCCCGCTGTGAAACCTCTATATAACGACATTTTTTTTCGAGTTGGTTGGCCATTACACAAAATAGTAAAAAGAAAACCTCTACAGGGTGGGAAATCTGGTTTTTCGACTGTAACTCGACGTCTAATGTTGCAATTCCCTTAATCTAATATTTATATGAAATTTCAAGTGGCTGGGATACAGTTTACCCCCTCCCCCACAATTGGGACCTCTCAAATGGTTTTTCTGGGGTAATTTTGTGCGTAGAATCCGAATTTCAACATCCCAGGCGCAGATCAGGCGTTTTTTCCCAAGAAAATTGATGGCTGGAGGCAAATCCAACCGTGGAAACGGTGGTTTCTTGTGGCCTTTGCACAGCCTGCAACTGCCCATAGGTATCGCGCTTTTTTTGTGGTTGTGTCTGGGTTAGGCGAAGCACGAGCCTGACCCAGGCACGACAACAAAAAAAACACTAATTTCCATATGAAATGGCTTATTCTTTGATATTTACTGTTCAAAAGCTCAGTCTCAGCGAGATATGAAACGTTTTTTGCGCTCAATTTTTTTGTGGAAAAAACGCCTGATCCGCACTTGGGATTTTGAGGTGCTTTGATGAAAGAATTGAGGAGCTAAGTTGGAAACTTTTGCCTCACGCACCTTACTCCCCTGACCTTGCACCGTCAGATTATTTTTTATTTCGGACGTTGAAACACTTCTTGGAAGACATATATGATAATCATTCTCAAGTCATAAATAAACTCCATGCCCATTTTACCTCCAAGGAACCGTTTGAATTCGACGATGCGATCTGAAGATGGAAAGAAGTCATCCATAAAAATGGAAAACACCTTACCGATTGATCTTTGCTTATTTGAGTTTTTCTCAATAAATGGTTTTGATAAAAAAACGCGCATTATTTCCTTTACACCCTGATAAATTGAAATTTCATATAAATATGAAGTTACCGAAATTGAATAATTGGGCGTCGAGTTACAGTCAAAAGATGAAATAAATTAACAGAAAGATGCATCACTACTAAACATGTTCGTTCGCATCGGTTTCGGGTCAAACCGACCCGAGGTTTTTGGTTTTTCGGGTTGACCAAATAAAAGTAGCCGCATAAAGAACACCGAATTTCTTTGATTGAACTACTTTTTGCACCTCTGTACGCTCTTTTGTACTGTTCATCTGTATGCTCCGTTCATAACAACTTTTGTGCTTTCTTCTAGCTTTCTCGGCGTAGTTATTCGTTTATATTCTCTTGTTACAATCATTCATACTGCTTGATGTATGTTTGATTAGTTTTTGCTTTTGGAACGGAATTTACTTTTATTTTGTTATTAAAAGTCATCAATTGTTTTCACTCTTTTTGGTTGTATATAGTTTAGCAACTCAATTATCTTGGCAATTAAAAGTAGGATAGGAGAAAATTAGATTTTTCGCAACTCCAGAGCTTCGGGCTGACCAGAAAAACATGTCTTATCACTACCATAACGAAAAATTACTCAATGAAAGCGATGATGGCTTGCCCTTTCTCGAATGCATCCAATCTTTCCAAAGTTTCTTTTTGTTGAATTGGACTGCTTTGATGTTTTCGAATACTGTACACATTGAAATCATCAATATCTTTCAAAGTCAAACAAGAATTGATCGAAACCTCCGGGGTGTTCGTCTTCCTCAAAGCGGTCCTCATTTTGGATCATTGTCAACTTGTGGCAACGATTTTAGATGCATTACTACCGTAAATACTGTAATAGTACCCCACCCCGATAATGACGGTGCGTAGCGTTGCGTAGTCTAGCTTTGAACGAGTTTTTCTCGACACTGGTTTATGCTACAATGCGCGCTTAGGTATCAAAAAATAGCTGAAATTCAGGGCTATTTTTTGATACCAAAGACGCACTTTTTGAAAGTACGGGCGCTTTGAAAAAAATGAAATACTAAATAAATTTTGCGACTACGCGACTGTACGAGGGGGTGGGGTACTATTACAGTATTTACGGTAGGTTCGGCTCGGATTAGAAAGATTCTGGCATAAAATTTCTCAAAATATCATGTTTTTGTTTTCGTATTTACCGAAAAGTACAAAAACTCTAGACACTATTTTCACTATTTATTCATTGATATATAAGCTGAACTTTGCTAGTACTTTTGGGTAGTTGGATGGGGTAAATTGTTGTTTTTCACAGGTTTTTCCATGAATCCAATCGAAACACATCTGCCGTCTGTCGATCGTTCGATATCCAATATCCAAAAAGCCAATAGTAAAGAGTCCACCCTTTAAAACTTCAATGAAAAGAACATGAACTTACATAAATTAAATTTCACTATGACAACTGGGAATAATAAAAGTATTTATGCTCTGGTTCTCTAAGTTTCCCTATAAAAGGAGTTTTCGAATATCAAATTTCCAAAATAACAGTTATTAAATTGAATATTTTGAATTGCCTAATGTTTATCCTTTCCCTAACTTTCTTGATGATTCTCCTAAACTCATTGACTGAAGGTGGTGGAGGAGGAGTGCTTGATAGTTCGCAAGCTATTAATGAGCTCGTCAAGACTTTCACTGAGGAGTACAAAGTGGTTGTGACAAACAACTGCTCAAATTCCATCTATCTCAAATGTGCCTCAGCCGATGATACAATTACTGGAAAGGGGTCGAGCAAAGATGGTTGGTGGACTCTCAAGGCTGGACAGGTAGGCAACATGCTCTATGCTATGTTCAGGCTTCCATATACTTATACAAGAATTAGTACTCAACCTAATAGGTACCTAATAGGTTGAGTACTAATTTTTAATCACACTTTTTGTTTTCTTTTTCATCAAAAAGCAAACCATAGCTTCTTATAAATTTTAAATATGATAATCAGACACGCATTGCCTAGCTTTAGACAAAGTTTCATTTTGATCTGATGGGTGGGCTTCAAGCAAGAAGCTTTTGTCTGAAACCAGTCGATTTGGACTCTTGATCTTCTGTGAACCAGATTTTTCGGCTACCCCTACAGATTTCCAGCCAAAAATTGGCAATTTGAAGTAGATACTTTGAAGAAGGCAATTTGAATAAAAACATATATATCAAATAGTTTTTCGAGAAACTTTGGTAGCATTCCAAATTACCAAAAAGTTGCTCGAAACTGAGAAAAAGTAAAGTTTCAAATGTCCAAAAGTTCATGTGGTAATGTTGGAGATTTTAGGCCGAATATCTTATCTAAATGCTGATAAAGCATACTTTGATAGCTGATAAGTTTCTCGATTAAATTCTTTTCTGAAAAATCTTCTAGGAAGTCTATTTTGCAAGTCACTTTTTCAGCTCCTTTGTTCCTAGCTCAGCTTTCAATTATCAAAACAAGATAAAACTCGCTGCCTAATAGACAACGAATACTAACAATGTTTCAAAAGTTTCATAAAAACACATAGTACATGTGGTAATGTTGGGGATTTTAGGCCAAAAAAAACTCTTGTTGTCCAGCCATTAGATCGGGATGAAACTTTGACTAAAGCTAGGCAATGAGTGTCTGATTATCATATTAAAAATTTATTCTTATAAAGGTTTTTGATGAAAAAGAAAACAAAAAGTGTTATCAAGAATTAGTACTCAACCTAATATTTATGCATATTGTAAATTGCCATTCCAAAAAGAACTGAACTAAATTGTTTCATGCCCTGGCCTTGATCTTCTCACTCGGGAAATGCATACAGGCTAAATCATCGATTTTTCTTGTTAGTTAGAGCAATTGCTCGGAAAGCAAAAAGTCGAGGGTTCAATTCCCTCTTGGGAAATCTACTTTTTCTTGCCAATTCCTTCACTTCTTTATTATATATCTCATCCGGGGTGGAATCCCGGGCTGATTCTACTGTACTAGGTTATTTCCGCCGTAAAAACATAAATAACGGTTTCTAGTTTTCTTGCCTAAAAGCATCCTTAAATTCTAAGTTGAAATTCATCAATGAAATCTCACTAAAGTCACGGATTTTTAGGCGTTGGGTTGGGGCTTTACGCCGAACAACTTTGGAACGACGTGTTTTTGGTGTTACGCGAACAATAATGGAAAAGCTGCCCGTAAATCAGGAAATTGGTACATCCATCAAGACGTGTGGGGATGGGAAGAGTGCGATGGACCGGCAAACCAGGACTGGAATCACAAGATCACCGAATGGCAGATGAGGAATCGTGGTGCTTTCTCCAACATGTGTGAAGATTGTAAAGATGGCAAAGTTTTCGAAAAATATGAGTCTTGGGGACCTCCGCCTGATGATAAGAAACTTCGTGAATCGAATGAAAATAGTGTTTGAAAGAGTCAATAAATTTTCCTATCAACAATACTCATTGAATCACTGCTTTGGCAATTAGCATATTACCACGTGTCCTTTAAAACACAATCATTTTCAATTGAGAAGTCCTGTCCTGTTCAAAATGCTTTTTTTGCTTTCTAATGTACAATTTATAGTAAGAGTTCGCATTTTTGATACTACATTATTTGTGGAATTCTCTTCCCAATGAAATTCACAATCTTTCATTTCTAAGCTCGTTTAAATCCGTGACTTCTCGAGCTCAAACTATCCAATTTATTAGATCTATAAATAGTATTCTTTTTCATTTTTTCCTTTCTTCCGATTAATTGCAAACTGTTTATTTTAAATTTTTGTGTGTTGTGAATTTTGTTACGCTTTATTACTGAAATAAAGTACAGTCGAGCCTCGTTAGTGAACTATGGAAGGCATCCTAAAAAACCGTTCACTATCGAGGTTTGATTAGTACTAAATCAACTCAACGGGATCTTAACAAATCCGGTTACTATCGAGGTTAGTTCACTATCGCAGTGTTCACTAACGAGATTCGACTGTATCTATTAATTCTTATAGTATATTATTTAAAAACCTATCGAGTAGAGGACTTCAAGCGTGGTGTAATTGTGAGCACATACATTGCGCCTTGAAGTGGACAAGGTATTCAGTTAGAAAGTCGTGAACTTCAGAACCTTTTCTGTAATATTCTTTGGCTCAAGGTGTTATGAAATTGTTAAAATTCGT